GTTTGCTAGCTTTCCAGCTGTCTACATGGGGCTTACATGGTTTTCCAGGTACGCACATCGAGCCACATATCTTGAGTACCTGTCTTTGGGAATTGCCCCTTTCTACATTCACGGAATTAACAGAACTTTTAATGACAGCTCCATTGTCCAAGCCATACGCAGCACCGATTCTACAAACCTAGCGCAATGGAGTGTCGCTAGGCTTAGATTTGAGTAGTTAGCCTTCTTTGACTTAGACTTCGGGGAAATCGTAACTTCCGACAACAGGAGGTTCAGAAGATTGGGATAATTTCCCCACATGTAACTTCTAGTATGAACACACCCTTATAACTTTGAATACACCATATATATATATATATTTATATTTATTATTATTATTATTAGCTATCTGCTAACTATAGCCTGTGCTGCCACTAGCGCTTGCCAAGCAGCGCTGGCATTGGAAGGTTGCTGGCGACAGCTCGCCTGCACAGCTTACCAAAAGACATGGCACCATCATCCGCAAGGTCTTTCTCGGAAGTTGCATTTCCCGGCAACGCTGGGCGCAAAGGGTAGTATTTAAAAGGCCAAGGCTGATTTCCGCGCTCCTCAAACTGTCATGCCATGCCAAGGTTGCCAATCGTTTCCCTACTTACCAACGCCAGGGACGGTGCAGGTTGTTACAGCTGTATTCCATGCACTTCATGTGCTGGAATCGTGGAAGCTATATATCAATATAGATCACAGGGTTCAGCACGACACTGCGTTGAACGACCCGGCACCTGTGCCACTGGTGTTGCAGCGCAGCAAGGCCACTGTGGGCTCGTAACCTGTGGCATCCTATAGCCAAGGGGCGCGGTAGCACCATTTTCCCTCGACCGTCGACAGTTTGCTTTGACACCAGAGCGTTTCGGCTACTCAAGGCGACAAGGAAAGTGGTAGTGGCAGTGCGACAAGGCCCGCACCCTCTATGCATGCAGGACGACAGCGGCCGCCGATGGGAATCTGGAAACCCTCCGCGCAGCTCGGGTCCTCGGAAGAGCACACCGATCAAAAGCCCTAAACCAGGCGCGACAACGAGCCATGCAGAGATCAATATCCCTTCAATAATGAGCTTCACGAGGAGCATTGGTTAGGGTTGTGCCTCATCCCGCAGCTTTCCGCTGCTCGCCCAGCGGACGATAGCTCTTCAAGATTTGTTCGCTCTGTGCTCGTGTGGTTGCATCGTGGAGTCGTAGACGTAGAGGAAAAAGACTCACCGGAATCTTTCTGTCGCCCTGCGTGACTAAAGGGGGAGCAAGGAAGTTCAAGAAAATAGGAGGCACCACGGAAAGCTGCAAATGGTTGCGCGCGTTGACATGCACCGATGGGTGAGCAGGTATGACCTATCATGAGAGCAACGTCTATGACCCTAAACGATTCATTTAGACCTGTCGAAGATCGAACCCCCGGTCAGCTCAGCTAGGTTTGATCACAATTTTACACATTTATCAATATAACCTGTATTGAACATCCATCTTCTCAGCAACTGAACATATGCCGCTCTATTAGATGACTCTTCTCACGGTGGCGGTCATCGTAGCGATGATAATGATCAAAAAGAGGTTGAGGACGATGGACGAGGCTTAGGACGATCACCGTCACGACAACGTGCAGTAGTCAACAGTCAGGAACCATGATGATGCGAGGATGGCGCTGCTGAAGATCATGGTAGTTGGCAGCGATGCATGCCTCAAAAATAAAAACCGTCTGTGCAAGAAGTCTTGCAAGCTCATCTCCAAAGATTCTCTGAGTCTCTCTAATCCATCTTATCTTGGAGGGTACATGGAAGACCCGCCATACGAATTATAATAACAATCATAATCATGAGAAGAACATTACTAAGAGTAATAACAATAAGAGTCTGGAAGGTGTAACCATAATTTTTCTGAGCCCTTGATCCACATGTGGCCTGGGCCAGACCCACTCCCAACGGCGCAGAGCAGGGAAGGCTTCGAGGCGGAAGAGCCACCTTGAGAAAGTGCTCTTACCGAACTTGGTTTTGGGTTTCAGGGTTTTAGGGCTTTAGGGCTTTAGGGTTCTAGGGTCTGTTTTTTTGAAGGCCCGCCTAGTGGTGTTCGGAACTTCCCACCCTGAGTAGCTCCCGTGTCCGATCCCTCACCCTTGTCATCCTTCGGCATACTCGTGTCTTCCAAGTGTGTCGAAATTCCCTGCTCCCGCCCCCTCCACCAGCCCATGCTAAGGTTTGGGCTTGGGCCTTAATAATTAGAATAGGGTTTTGGGGCCACTATACTGTACTTATAATAAGGAACCCCTCAAAGTTATATAGGTAATTTAGGTTTAGGGTTGATCGGATCAAGGTTGGAGGCACTGCCAGCAGCAAATCCCGAAACACTGGAAGTCGAAGGCAGGAGCATGTAGGCCTGTACAGGGGCACATGATCTCGGTCTCGTGCTGCAACAGAAGCTATCGAAAGTTAAACACCGATTTAGACTGTGGCCTTGCCCTTGCGCCCGTAGTACTATGGTTCCAGATCGGAAGGGACTCTGCGAGAGGAAAGGCGTGACGGCCAGACCGCTCCTGTCTGGGTCATTCACGCCCGTGGCAGTTAGGGGGCTTTTAATCCATGTCTTGGGTCGGTCTGTATGGAATTGTGCTCACTAGACTCGAATGGCTGGGAAGGAGGGTATGTTCCGATTGGGTATTATCACGACCCCTTCTGCAGATACCTTGCAGGCTGGACATCTCAGGCATGCGCGCAAGAGGTTGCGTTGTCCCCCGGCCGATCCTCGCCTCAGGGAGCAGTCATTTTCTCCAACCCCACTGCCCCTGTGAGAAGCCCTTGCTGCGGTCATGCGAATCCTTGCACCAGAACTTCTCAAATCAGAACCTGCATTTAACACCAGTCAGCACAAATTGCAGAGCAAATGGCTGAGAGGGTTGGGTATGTGACTAAAGCTTGCAGCAGCTCCGTTTGTCTTCGCAACAGCATATACGACATGCCCAACAATCCTCCAAACAGTCTACATTGGAATTTGCTGATATTGGCGACGAGAGACAGCAGGTCGCTTTGCAAGCAAACGTGGATGGCTGGAAAATTCCAACCTGAATGCAAAGGCAGTGAGGTTTACAAGCACTTCACAAGCTTCGCAGGTGTTGCGATGGGGCTGCAAGTTCCTTCACGCTGGTGACAGGCAAACTCCAGGCCTCGCAATGGAGCCGCGCGACCGTCGGTGCGAATCCTGCCGCCATGATATGACCCGGGCAAAGTGCATCCACTGTCAGTTATGTCTCAAAACACCCCCGAACTGCTCGCATTGAACAGAAATTGGCAGCACGAGCCTGGCGCACACATCGCCTCGCATGTCCTGCCGTGTGGCACGGCCCAGCCACCTGAGCACTGGGCAAGGTTGTCTCTGTCCCTTTGTGGACTCTTCGCACGGCGACGCCACATGGAGAAGTATGGCTACTAGTAGTAGCTAGTAGTAGTAGTAGTAGTAGTAGTAGTAGTAGTAGTAGTAGTAGTTGTCGTCGTAGTAGTAGTAGTAGTAGTAGTAGTAGTACTCCAGCTACGTCTGCCCACTGCCTTCTGAGAGCAGGGCTTGCACAAGCATCTTCGGCGGCATTCAATATGCCTGGCACCAGGGCCACGGACGTGGAGTCGCTCTGGTTTGCATGCCTTGTTATTGGGATCCTTTCCGTTTGGATACGAAAACATGGCTATGCATATAGATATATATATATATATATGTACTCTGTATGTCTGTGTGTATATACATGTGTATATATATATATATGTTTGCGAAACATTGTAACATGCTTATGTGTATATTCAGCTGCTTGCATGCATGCAGCCGGTGGAGGCGGCAATGCCTGTGTCTGGCTGGGTGGGTGGGTGTTGCGGGTCGGGTGGGTGCAAGGGCGAGTGAGTGGGTGGACGGGTGGCGGATGGGTTACGTACGCATGTAGGTATAGGCAGAGGTCGGTACGGTGGGCCAGTAGGTCGGTAGGCAAGTTGGTGAGTGGGTAGGTAGGTGCCTATGCATACATACGCAGCATATGCATGTATGTATGTATGTACGTACGTAGGTATGTCTGTATGTCTGTCTGCATGTGAGATTATGTGAGTATCTGTATATACATAATATATATATATATATATATTTATTTATTTATTTATATTTATTTATTTATTTGTTTATATGTACGTATATGTCTCCCATGTATGTATGTATGTATGTATGTATGTATGTATGTATGCATGCATGTGCAAATATGTATATATGTATGCGTGTACATATATATATATATATATACAGATATATACATACAGTATATCGTGGAGTGAGAGCCCTTGGGGTTTGATTGCTGCAGGAGGCCACAAACCGAATGCCTCCAGCTGATGGAGGCGATTCGCTGGCGGCTTCCAGCAAATTAGACCCTACAGTAGTCAGCATTGCTCTTCCGACTCCCGTCAGTTTTTAGGACCTTCCTGACGAACCTTTAGCTGTCAAGACTGGTAACCCGACAGCTCAAGCCAGCGTTCAAAGGCTATGGAGGCCTGTTCATTCGCTCTGCACTCCTGGCCTTTAAGGGGTTTAGAGCTGGTTCTGCAAGCAGGTGCAGCAGTCAAAGATTGTGACCCTGATCCGAGGTGCCTTGCGGTGCTACGCAGGGCTGCGGAACGCAGCCAGAGAGCTGGAAGAAGGCCGCCTCCTGTCTAGGGTTTGTTCAAGGTCTGTTTAGGGTTTAAAAGGGTTTGCAAAGGCAGGGCTTGAGAAAGCGGTTACAACATCGCGTCGCATTTCTCGCGTTTGATCAGTCATATCTTGGCACGAGTGTTCGCGCTGGTTGAATTGAAGTATGTGCAAGCATTGAGATTACGTTTGTTTGTTTCTCGCACCATGCACACAAACACAAACACACACACACATATATATATATATATACACATACGCACACGCAGAGACACACATCAAAATGCATGGGTATGTCGATGTATATATATATATATTTATTTATTTATTTATTTATTTATTTATTTATATTTATATTTATCTGATCTATTTATCTATTTATTTATTTATTCATATGCACCTTTCAGATCGCCGTCGTCCTGCCGACTCTACTCATGACAGCGATGTCCGTGATCTGGCGCTGTTGTTGTCGGTGCTACCGTTATTCCGCAGTCTTGCTTTCTCGGCAGAGCCAGTGTATGGCAACCTTACTAATGCCAGCTACCCAGCTGGTCTCATTTCGATAGCAAACAGAAGAGGATTGATTGAACGCTCGGGTGCTGGCAGCTGAAGTACTGTCTGCTTCGCTGGTTTGCACTGGTCGCAGAAACCGTTGTGAAGTTGACATTGGGTTGGAGCCTGTAGAGTAGAGTTCAGGCCCCGGGCTTGGGCTTGAAAGATCTTAGCGGTTTAAGGTCTGAAAAGACGGTATGCTTGACTTTCGATGAGCCTGCTCAAACATTACTGCAGCACAGACGATCAGCCCGTTGCGCTAACATTAGATCCATCACATCATTCTGCACTCAGGGTTGCTCACTACAAGGCTTGTGGAGCTTCGAAAGCTGGGCTTGGCTTTAGCGCGGCCAGGCTGCTGGCGGCATGGGGCAGACAGCTCGTGGGCCCTGGCCTGGCAGGAGAGGAGCAGAACCCCAGGGCTTCGATGCTGTACGGGCTCAGGAGATTTTCGAGGAATCGGAATCGAGGCTCTGGTGACGGGACGACCCTTTCACTGATGCAACTTGGCCGAGGAACTGAAACCATCAGAGCCCAATGAGAAGGAAGAGATGGTGAAACCAACGGACTTTGATGTATGGCCGCAGCCGCTGGATTCTTTTCGTGACCGGACCCCGACAAGAAGCCCCAGATTGCAAACCCCTCAGCTGGCCTTCCACCAGGTAGCCGTCGGCACATGAGACTTTGCAGTCCTTCAGAATGCCGAGAGCCACAACCAAACTGGTCCCAGCCCGGATATCTCAATCTGGCAGCCACGAGGGGTGTAGGATGCAGTTTAGGTTTTCGGGATCAGTTCGACACCACGTAGGAGCTTTGACTAGACTTGGCAGATGGCACATGTTAAAGCCAGCTGAGTCCTTCTCCAGCAAGGGCCTCTCCGTGGCCAAGCACGCTGCGGTCAAGTATCCTGTCGTGTCCTGATGTGACATGGTAAACCATGTGCAGCCTGCAGCCTCCCCCATGGCAGAGCTTTTGCTTACGAGGCTAACTATAAGCACAGACTGCACACCGACACGGGTTTCCTGGCCGCTTCAAGCTTGAATGTGGCCCTGGTTGCTCAATCATACCACCTTGATTTGCATGACAAACCGTGCAGCCACCCCAAACTCCCGGCTAGTCTGGCCACCTGCGGCAGAAAGCAGGTCCATTCCAAGCTCGCCCTGTGAACTGCGCTCGGATCCTTAGAAGCTGCAAAACTCGACCATTCTTCAAATGGCAGAATGGTAATAATCAATTGTTGGTTTGCGGATGTTTCAGATCTGAGCCTAGCCGCGTCCACTGACAACAGAAAATCGAAAACCACTTTCCCTTCGAACGGCGACATCTGTGAGCGATGTCATGTCAACTCTCGGGGCCCTGGGCAACGGGTTTAGGGGTTTAGGGTTTAGGGTTTAGGGTTTACGGAAACAGTTCAGTGCAAAGGGATCAATTGCTAGCAGCATATTGTACTCTGCCAGGCATCTCCCGCCACGGGCAGCAGCAGTGCAACCTAGGAATTGGAAGCCGTAAGTTAATCCCCGGTCCCCATAGATTAAACATGTACAGGAGAAGCATTTCGGTGCTTGCGCCGGGATAGACCTAGGACCTAAAAACAGCAGCCAAACACGCCGAATTCTTCGCAGCGAGTTTAGGGTTTAGGGTTTATAGTTTATAAGGGTTTAGGGACCCTGAACCTTGAACCGCTAGAGTTGGCGTTTGAATATGTTTGAATCTGAAAGTCCCGCATCACAGCCAGCTCGTGACTACGGCGTAGAACGGCTGAAGCCAGCCGAAACCCCTCCCCAAAATGATCAAATACAGACAATGAATCTAATGATAATACATGGTGATAACAATAATCATATGAAGAATAATGCTCATATTTAACAATAGTAGTAGCATCTGAGAGATTAAGGCATCTCACCATCACCTCCCACAACAAACCGATCTCACAACGAAACGAGAACATCTTCCAAACAAAGGCAACAAAGGCATCGCACCATCGGCTCTCACAGCCAACCTCTCACAACAAAACGTGGACCCTCACAACAGTCCCCGAGTAGTAACGCTACTAGTTACTCATTTTGATAACCATAGGTAACGGTAACGGCACTCGTAATAAAGTACATATCATCACTGGTTGGTCTCCAGGCCATGTGTTGGACTCAGAACAAGGTGCCCGATCCAAGTGAGGCAGAAGTGGCAAGGTAGGAATCGACTAAACCCCAAAGCCGATTAGTCTGCCAAGTGACAAAGACGTCAACGATCTAAGTCTAAACCCCTGAAGGCCCGGCCTCGTTTTGGCGCAGGTCCACTAGCGTAGCATCGGCACCCACGCGACCGGCAAGCACTTGAACGGGGCCCAGGGTCACGAGCCTGCTCTCGGTTGCAGGGTTTGGGGTTTAGGGGTTTAGGGGTTTAGGGGTTTAGGGTTTAGGGTTTAGGGGTTTAGGGTTTAGGGTTTCGGGGTTCGGGGCGCGATGAAGTACACGAGCACGCTTTTAGCATGATATACGTGTCTACGCATGTACGAAGATCTTGATGCTAATTTGAAAAGAGCAGTGCATTCGGCTGGAAGAGTGTAGACAGATATAATTCACAATATATATATATATATACGAGTATATATATATATATATGTGTATATATATATATATGAGCACATTCTATGTATACGAGTACATACATGGTTCTAGTTGACATGTATGTCTATGTATACAGACCGACAGACAAGCAGATGCATACATACGTACATACATACATACATAAATACATACATACATGCATACATACATGCATATGCACACATACACATACATATACATATACATATACATATACATATACATATACATATACATATACATATACATATACAGACTTATCCGCCGACCCCGCTGGGGCG